AAGTACAAGCCCCGCCTACCCGCCCCTATTTTCTCAGAGGATATGTCATTAGCAAAATAAGACTTATCTTAGCAAGTACTAGCAAGTACTACCCTCTGAAAAAGTAAGGGCGGGTAAGCGGGGCTATTACTTCTTGCTAATATAAGTCTTATTTTGGCATATCACATATTCTCTGAGAAAAAATGGGGCGGGTGGGCGGGCCTAGTACTTGGTAAGATAAGACTGATTTTGGAAAATCACATATTCTCGGAGAAAATAGAGAGCGGGTGGGCGGGCCAAGTACTTGTGTGACTCAAAAAAATTAATGACTGAATTGTTAAAAATAAACTTCCAATCAGATTTAAGAATTTAACTAGTTACTATGGAAATTTTAAATTTAATAATTTTGTGAAAGTTTAATAGAGGCAAAATCAGTCTTAACTTAGCAAATGTTAGCCCGGCCCACCCACCCTCTATTTTCTCAGAAAATATGTCATCTGCCAAAGTAAGTTTTATTTTAGCAAGTACAAGCCCCGCCCACCCGCCCCTATTTTCTCAGAGGATATGTCATCTGCCAAATTAAGACTCATCTTAGCAAATACTAGCAAGTACTACCCTATGAAAAAATAAAAGAAGGGTATACAGAGCTAGTACTTGTTAATATAAGTCTTATTTTGGCAAATGACATACCCTCTAAGAAGGTAAAGGGCGGGTGGGCGGGGCTAGTACTTGCTAAGTTAAGACTTATTTGGGCAAATAATATATCCTCTGAGAAAATAGGGAGCGGGTGGGCGGACTTAGTACTTGTGTGACTCAAAAAAATTAATGAATGAGTTGTTAAAAAATAAACATCCAATCAGATTTAGGAATTTATCTCGTTACTATGGAAATTTTAAATTTAATAATTTTGTACAAGTATAATAGGGGCAAAATCAGTCTTATCTTAGCAAAAGCTAGCCCCGCCCACCCACCCTCTACTTTCTCAGAAGATATGTCATCTGCCAAATTAAGTTTTACCAAAGCAAGTACAAGCCCCGCCCACCCGCCCCTACTTTCTCAGAGGATATGTCATCTGCCAAATTAAGTTTTACCATAGCAAGTACAAGCCCCGCCCACCCGCCACTACTTTCTCAGAGGATATGTCATCTGCCAAAATAAGACTTATCTTAGCAAGTACTAGCAAGTACGACCCTCTGAAAAAATAAAGGGCGGGTAAGCGGGGCTAGTACTTGGTAATATAAGTCTTATTTTGGCAGATGATATATCTTCTGAAAAAATAGAGGGCGGGTGGGCGGATCTAGTACTGGGTAAGATAAGCCGAAATTTGAAGAAGATGGGACCATTGGAAAAAATTCACTTTTACAAAAGTTGTCTAAAATTATAAAAAAATTCAGGGACGTAGATATCGACATGATGATTCCAAAAATATAGCATGTTGATAGTCACAGAGCAACATTTTGGGAAGAATCGGTACGAAATGCGAATTTTTGAAAATTTCTACAAATTTCCATATTTCAACGGACGATTGTAGTTATCAAAGAAACGAGCCCGGAAATGAGTTCTAGAGCTCGAAATCTACAAGAAAATGTATTTAGTTAAGTTTCGAAAATGTCAAAAATTGGCCAAAATTTGAAGAAGTGGGGACCATTGGAAAAATTTCACTTTTACAAAAGTTGTCTAAAAATTATGAAAAAATTCAGGGACATGGATATCGACATGCTGACTGATTCTGGCAAATGACGTAGCCTCTAAGAAGGTAAAAGGCGGGTGGGCGGGCCTAGTACTTAAGTTAAGATAAAACTGATTTTGCCCCTATTAATCTTGTAAGAATATGTGAAATCTAAAGGTGTTAAATTTCAATAGTAACGAGATAAATTCCTAAATCTACCCGATTTGTGCAAAATATTTTGAGTTTTTAATTGTGAGTTATCATTGCATTAATATTTTTACTTCCCGAGCGTAAGCAAAGGCAGTATTGTAATCGAGTCCGTGGGCCGACTCTCTATTTCAACATTTTTTCGACCTTTCATGACTCCTAGAAGACGAAGAAATAGGTCTTCCGTTCCCGTCTGTCTGTCCGTTTGTCTATCTGTCTGTCTGTCCGTCTGTCTGTCCGTTTGTCCGTGTGTCTGCCGTCCCGGATTTTTATTAGACAGATAAATGTGATGACGTCACTTCAAAATTGTACATAGTAAATGGGTTGTACTTAATAGTTTTGATCCTATGTTTTGAGGGGACGAATTCGTTCAAATCAAACTAATTTCTACGTGACATTCTTCCGATGTATAAACATAAACACTTTCAAGTTGTTTTTCTTGTCGAGGACGTACAGTAATGGTGTCCATCGGGCAATTTGGTACTTTCATATTTTCTCGATATTTCATAACCCCTTGACAAGGCCGTAGCCAGGGGGAGACTAAGGGATGCTGAGTCTCCTTAGGTCTAGACAAGTTATAATTAACCAAATGTGAATTACAACATCGAAAATCAAAATAAAATGTACTGTTTTATTTAATAAGCGGAAGTCAGAACAATAAAAAGTTTGGACCGTCGGCATTGTGATCCGGTTATTAAACATCTTTTAGTTTAGGTTCTGTTGCACTCTCACGTCTACAGGTTACTAAGTGTTATCGCTATTTGTCTTAAATTGCAAGTACCATAAATGATTTTCAGTTCGGTCTTCAAATTTTTTCTTAATATTACAATATTAATGAAAACACAACATGATGGTCGAAATTTTCCAAACTTAGTATCTACGTGCTTTGTTGATTTAAGTCTGAATATGTAGTCTAGTAATTCATTTAAATGTTAATTACAACATTTGAAGATCAGACGTTAAAGTAACACTAGTTTTTGCAGCCACTGGCTTCAACTCTCTTAGAAGGCTTCTCAAGCAGAATAACAATCAATCATAAGAAAAACTTGTCGCGTCGTATCAAATGTTCACAATTAAACTCCACCTAGCAAGAATATTTATTCATTCCTTTCCACTTGCACAAAGCAAACAGCAAACTCTCGCCTGCTTTGCATTTCTACAGCCTTTCGTAAAATTAAAGCGAACAAGCACAGATATAATAAAGTGCTCACTTTCAATTTAACCGACATAAAACTAATAGGATTGTTCGGTGTCCGCGTGGATGGAATCTAGCCATGTAAATTTCTTCACATAATGCGGAATATTATGTTGGCTGGAACTTGGTATTGCCTCTGGAATTCCTCCGTAAAAGATCGAAAGAATTTAGAGACGTTAGCATCAATAAAACTCCATATCCATGTTTACGACTATTGCTTCTGCGTAGCTGCACTCGAAATCAATTGGACAAGAATTAGAAGCTACATATAACTATCACAACCATTATAAACTTCAAGTCTTGCTTTCTTTATTGAATTAGTCGCGTCAGCGGGTTGTCGAAGCTTCCAGGAAGTCACAAATTGTATCTAAACTGGTTTGTAAAAGTGCTCGTGCTAAAGTCAATCCACGGTTGCTTATTTTAAGACAAAATAGATAGTATTAAGGAAATATAAACGTAATTTAGTCCAATTATATGCCTGAATTTCTCTATCGACTGGTCTGCGAAGGCGGGTTCCCACAGGAAAATGCTTATCTCCAAGCCGGGACTTCTCTATCCCAGAAGTTGGGAAAAATTTATAAGTGAGGTCGCAGCTCCCGATGAAATACGATGACCAAGCAAAAGGGTGAAATAGAAGACTTACCAGTTCCGTTTAAGTGTGAATAAAATCATTGTTAGAAACTAGGAATAAATTGAAAGATCAGTGTCTGCAACACCTACTTGTTTACCAACCAAAGCGTTTAATACGAGTTGAGTGAATTCAATTAAATTCGTCCAGGTGGATTTATCTTTTATTCCGGTAAATCCGTGTACGTTGACAGCTTGTTATAGACTATGACGCTGTCGGTATCGTCTGAAATAGCACTGCAGAATTTAAAATAGGTAGTTCGAGTGAAGTTAATTTGTTTAATTGTTTCATGTTGTTGTTGGAATGACATTTCCGGAACCGCGATTGTTACAATAAACAAATTTGTTCCCCGGAATTTCCGGTCGCTGGCATACTTTTATCCGTGCTGTGTACGCACAATTACAAATTTAAGGGTCATAATCCACGTAGTAGCCCAGCGTGCTCTATATTTGTGAATTTTGAGGGATTTAATATGAAGGGTCACCTATGTTTGTTTTCAAGGCAAACAATTTAGGACAGTTCTTGAAATAGAATAGTTGTCCTGTTCCTACAATGTGATGCTCGTTCCACGGTCAATATTTGCGCGGAAATAGTGTTTGGCTAAGACCTTGGTAAAATAAAACTTATAATTGATAAGTTTTTCAGCGAAGAATGGTCTCGCAATCAAGAGACAAGACCCAATTTAATAAATTCTCTTTTTGTGTAACATTCGCTGCATTTTAAACGCTGTTGACAATCCGACGCGCACGCAGCGAACATTTCTTAACAATAAGACGTCATTTCTCGATACAGAATTTACGTGGCTGGAAAATTAGATGAACAAACTTGTCTGAGGCAGATATTTGAGTAATTGAGTTTGTAAAGAGGTTTGAGATCCTTGTCAGTGTCATCGTGTTTGAATGAAATTAGGCAGATTGCAGCGATCTATTTTTAGAATCTAATGAATCATGAATTAAATTCCAGGCTCACAATTATCCAAATGATAACAAAAGTTAGGTTTTACTTCCTACTTTATTGAAATGGTATTCTAGTCTATTTATGTTTGACGAGCGATTCTCTGGGGTAACGAAATTGATTAAGGACTTTTCGTGCATTTAATATTCCGGGGAATGACGTGATGCAGGACGACAACGGCCGGAATGGATCAAAGCAACAAACAATAATTTAGATGGGTCGTAAAATGTCGAATATCAAGGTGTGGGCGTTGGAAATGAGAATTTACTCCTTTGATGCAAAACATATTGCGCTCCTCCAAAGCACTTTTCTCTTTACAAAAATTGATAACATAATTTTGCTGTTATTATTATTATTATTATTTTCAGATGCTCGACCGTGAGAACGGCGCCAGTCCAGAGCACCGACGCCTCGCACGGACCCCAGCAAAATGAAAATCCTCTGGAACTGGCTCATACCTTAATTGCGAACCAAAACGAAGGATGAATCTCTCGCAGGAGCTTCTGTACCCCACGGTTTACTCCTACTTCGACAACTCTTCCTTAGAATATAGCACTACAAGCAATGCGAGCTACGACGAGTTCGAAGGAGGTAGTTTTTGGGGGGTAATTAAATCAAAAACACTCAACATATGCCTTCTTTGTAGACGGTAATCAGTTTATTCTCCCCATCTGGAGGCAAGTTCTGTGGAGCATCCTCTATGCCGGGATGGTGATTGTGGCGACGGGTGGGAACTTGATCGTTATTTGGATAGTGTTCTCGCATAAAAGAATGAGGACGGTTACTAACTATTTTTTGTGTGAGTAATATTGTTTACGAGCTTTACGACAACGAAGCTTTAGTAACTAGTTGCAATATAACTTTTTTTTTTGAGGAAAATGAGATTCGTTATTTAGTGGAATGTATTTGTTAGCTAACAAACAGCGCTTGATTGTTCGTTAAAACTAAAGTATGTTGTGTCATAACTATGTCACTATTATCACGATTTACGTTTTCCGAAAAAAAATAAAAAAATATTAAACTATCGCGGGCGTCACTGGTAACGTAGTTAAAAATGATTAAGCGTGCGTTAAATGAAGGAACGCAAACAAGAAAAAACAACGTAATTTATTCAGTTCTCATCAATTGGTCGACAACAAACACCTTTTCCAAAATTGGGTATTCGATTGTTTATCATTCGGTGAATAAAAACACAGTTTTTAAATTGGTTCATCCTCAGTGACAAACGGGCGTTGGGTGTGGGAGTGTAAGGGGTTAAGTTCAGTTTGCTTAATTTTTTATTATCAACTTGAATAGGTTTTTATCACACTTTTATACGACCAACTAGTTCTGAAGTCGAAGTCCCATGTTTTTTAATTCTTTCAAATAAAAAGACACCAGATAGCCAATACCATCTAAACTTATTTCAAGATTTTTATTTAAGGATTCCTTCAGCAAGAAAACAACAAAAGCCCCAAACGTTTTTTCCCCCTCCAAAGAATTGATTACGTCATTCCAAAATTTTGCCGGATAAATAATCTCTAAAATATACAACATATGACAGTCTATACTTGTGATTTAACACTGCATTCATATTTTTTAGATTGGCTTAAACATGGTGATTCAAAGAAATTAATGACCGAGTTGTTAAAAAATAAACATCCAATCAGATATAAAAATTTAACTCGTTACTATGGAAATTTGCGATTTAACACATTTTAAATTTTTTCAAGTTTTTACAAGGTTAATAACGGCAAAATCAGTTTTATCTTAACAAATACTAGACCCGCCCACCCGCCCCCTATTTTCTCAGAGAATAAGTCATCTGCAAAAATAAGGTTTACCTTACCAAGTACTAGCCCCGCCCACCCGCCCTCTATTTCTCTAGAGGCTTTGTGATTTGCCAAAATCAGTCTTATCTAAGCAAATACTAGCCCCGCCCGCCCGCCTGTATTTTCTCAAAGGATATATCATTTGCCAAAATAAGACTTATCTTAGCAAATACCAGCTACCCTCTAAGAAAATAAAGGGCGGGTGGGCGGGCCTAGTGCTTGCTAACACATGTCTCAGTTTGGCGAATGACATAATAATATCCTCTGAGAAAGTAAAGAGTGGGTGGGCGGGGCTAGTACTTGCTTAGATACGTCTTATTTTGGCAAATAACATATCCTCAGAGAAAATAGGAGACGGGTGGGCGGGCCTAGTATTTGCTCAGATGAAACTGATTTTGGCGAACGTGCACACCCTCTGAAAAAATAGAGGGCGGGAGGGCGGGTGGGCGGGGCTAGTACTTTGTAAGATAAGACTGATTTTGGCAAATGACATATCCTCTAAGCAGGGCCAGCTCTAAGGGACCAGGCGCCCCGATGCAACTTACTGTTTAACGCCCTTTAAAAATTGTTTGTAAAAAAAAAACAAAAAATATTTTGTAATCACATATTTTTGTAGAGAGATACTTTTAATTAATAAACATACATAAAATTATGATGAATCAATCTTAATATATGAAAGTGTTTGTCCTGACTGACAGACTAACTGATCTATCAACGCAAAGCCTGAACTATTGCAACTACAAACATGAAATTTGGATAGTAGATTCCTTTTGTGTCATAAGCACCCACTGAGAAAGGATTTTTGGAAATTCCGCCCCAATTGGACAAAATAGGGGAATGTAAAGTTTTATGTTAAAAATCTTTACATTACAAAAATTTTTAAATTCTTAATATTGTAAAATTGATACGATTTCAAAGTTATTTTTAATTTAGACTTACCTCAGTGTTATTCGAAATTAAAATTTAAAATATAACAAAAATGAACAACCACCACAACCAGCCGACTAGACTCGGAAAATACAATTTTTAAGTTTGTGCCGACAAGGAGTTTTTTGGTACCAACAAACGTCACAAATGTTAGAAAAACATCTGGTTTTGGTCATACCGCTGTCTCGTCAAATTGTTACCCAGATAATGGCAGTCATAAATCTGTTATTTTTTGTCGGTATTGATCTAAAGGTCCAATTACCCAACCCAAAGTTTCGATGGGCGCCTTGGTCTGTTCCTGCTATAATATTTTGTACGTAGTAATTCAATGCAAATCTAATACTCCTATTAATTTATTTCTATGGAGAAGCATAGGCGCCGCCCGCCGGCTGGCGGCCCTTGTCATGAGCGCCCCGATGCGGTGCATCTTTCGCTTACCGTGTTAAGCCGGCCCTGCCTCTAAGAAAGTAAAGGGTGGGTGGGCGAGCTTAGTACTTGTTAGGATAAAACTAATTTTGCCCCTATTAATCTTGTAAAAACCTGTGAAAGTTAAAGATATTAAATTGCAAATTTTCATAGTAAGGAGTTAAATTCCTAAATCTACCCGAAATGAGCAAAATATCATGAGTTTTTAATTGTCAGTTATCATTGCATTCATATTTTTTACATTTACACAGTGACTCAAAAAAAATTTACGACTGAGTTGTTAAAAAATAAACCTCCAAACAGATTTAGGAATTCAACTCGTTACTATTGCAATTTAACACCTTTAAACTTCACAAGTTTTACAAGATTATCTTAACAAGTACTACGATCACCCACCCGCCCCTCATTTTCTCAGAGGATATGTGATCTGCCAAATTAAGACTCATATTAGCTAGTACTAGCAAGTACTACCCTCTGAGAAAAATAACGGGCTGGTGGGTGGGGTTACTACTTGCTAACATAAGTTTGGCAGATGACATATCCTCAGAGAAAATAGGGGCGGGTGGGCGGGGCTAGTACTTGGTAAGATGAGACTGATTTTGGGAAATGACATACCCTCTAAGGAAGTAAAGGGTGGGTGGGTGGGGCTAGTACTTGCTAAGATCAGAACTATTTCGGCAGATGACATATCCTATGAGAAAATAGGGGGCGGGTGGCTGGGCTTAGTACTTGTTGAGACAAAACTGATTTCGTCCCTATTAATCTTGTAAAAACTCAAGAAATTTAAATGTGTTAAATTTCCATAGTCACCAGTTCCTTTTTTGAAAAAGTAGTCTAAAAATTCTGAAAAAATTCAGGGTTATAGATCTTAACGTACTGATTCCAAAAATGTAACGTCTTTAAGGTCACGGAGTAGTATTTTCGAAAAATTTCAATGGGTGGAAATTTTATATTTAACACCTTTTATATTTAACAAGTTTTTACAAGTTTAATAGGGATAAAATCAGTCTTATCTTAGCAAGTACTAGCCCCGCCCGCCCGCCCTTGCTTTCTCAGAGGATAAGTGATTTGCCAAATTAAGAATTATCTTAACTAGTACTAACAAGTACTATGCTCTGAGAAAAATAAAGGGCTGGTGGGTGGGGCTAGTAGTTGCTAACATAAGTCTTATTTTGGCAGATGACATATTCTCAGATAAAATAGGGGCGGGTGGGCGGGGCTAGTACTTGATAAGAAAAGACTGATTTTGGCAAATGATATACCCTCTAATAAAGTAAAGGGTGGGTGGGCGGGGCTAGTACTTGCTAAGATAAGACTTATTTCGGCAGATCACATCCTCTGAGAAAATAGGAGGCGCGCAGGTGGACTTAGTACTTATTGAGACAAAACTGATTTTGCCTCTATAAATCTTGTAAAATTTTGTGAAATTTAAAGGTGTTAAATTGCAAATTTCCCTAGTAACGAGTTAAATACCTAAATCTACCCGAAATGTGGAAAATATCATGAGTTTTTACTTGTCAGTTATCATTACATTCATATTTTATAGATTTGCGCTAACTCAAAAAAAATTAACGACTGAGGGGCCAATTCCAAGTTGGTGGCGCAAGTCACTGGTGCAGCGCAACTTTATAATGCTAATTTGGGTATCAAATGCTGGTTGCTAGGGGTGACGGAATCACCAAACGCAGTTGTGTCGAATTTTCCATTGAAATTTGCACCATGGAGTTGCGGCACCTCTAGTAGGCAGTGCAAGTTGGCGCAATTTATCTCGAAAAATTGCGTTTGTTTATTCCGTCACCCCTAGCAACCAGCATTTGATACCCAAATTAGCATTATAAAGTTGCGCTGCACCAGTGACTTTATAATGCTAATTTGGGTATCAGATGCTGGTTGCTAGGGGTGACGGAATAAACAAACGCAATTTTTCGAGATAAATTGCGCCAACTTGCACTGCCTACTAGAGGTGCCGCAACTCCATGGTGCAAATTTCAATGGAAAATTCGACAAAACTGCGTTTGTTGATTCCGTCACCCCTAGCAACCAGCATTTGATACCCAAATTAGCATTATAAAGTTGCGCTGCACCAGTGACTTGCGCCACCAACTTGGAATTGGCCCCTTAGTTCTTAAAAAATAAACTTCCAAACAGATTTAGGAACTTAACTTGTTACTATGGAAATTTGTAATTTAAGACCTTTTACATTTAACAAGTTTTTACAAGTTTAATAGGGCTAAAATCAGTCTTATCTTAACAAGTACTAGCCCCGCCCACCCGTCCTCTATTTTCTCAAAAGGTATGACCTTCACCAAAATCAGTCTCATTTGAGCAAGTACCTAGCCCCGCCCGCCCGCCCTTGTTTTCTCAGAGGATCTGTAATCTGCCAACTTAAGACTTATCTTAGCTAGTATTAGCAAGTACTACTCTCTGAGAAAAATAAAGGGCTGGTGGGTGGGGTTAGTACTTGCTAACATAAGTCTTAATTTGGCAGATGACATAGCCTCTAAGAAAATAAGGGTGGGTGGGCGGGGCTAATACTTGCTAACATAAGACTTATTTCGGCAGATGACATATCCTCTGAGCAAATAGGGGGCGGGTGGGTGGACCTAGTACTTGTTGAGACAAAACTGATTTTGCTCCTATTAATCTTGTAAAAACCCGTGAAAGGTGTTAAATTGCAAATTTTCATAGTAACGAGTTAAATTCCTAAATCTACCCGAAATGTGCAAAATGTGATGACTTTTTACCTGTAAGTTATGATTGCATTCATATTTTTTAGATTTGCTTAAACAGGGTGATTAAAATAATTAATGAATTGTTAAAAAATAAACATCCAAACAGATTTACGAATTTAACTCGTTACTATGGAAATTTGTAATTTAACACCGTTTATATTTAACAAGTTTTTACAAGTTTAATATGGCTAAAATCAGTCTTATCTTAGCAAGTACTAGCCCCGCCCACCCGTCCTCCATTTTCTCAAAAGGAATGACGTTCGCCAAAATCAGTCTTAACTGAGCAAGTACTAGCCCCGCCCACCCGCCCTTGTTTTCTAAGAGAATATGTAATTTGCCAAATTAAGACTTATCTTAGCTAGTACTAGCAAGTACTACCCTCTGAGAAAAATAAAAAGCTGGTGGGTGGGGCTAGTACTTGCTAACATAAGTCTTATTTTGGCAGATGACATATTCTCAGAGAAAATAGGGGAGGGTGGGTGCGGCTAGTACTTGGTAAGAAAAGACTGATTTTGGCAAATGATATACCCTCTAAGAAAGTAAAGGGTGGGTGGGCGGGGCTAGTACCTACTTGCTTAGATAAGTTTTATTTTGGCAAATGACATATCCTTAGAGAAAATAGAATGCGAGTGGGCGGGCCTAGTACTTGTTAAGATAAAACTAATTTTGCTTCTACCAATCTTGTAAAAACTTATGAAATTTAAAGATGTTAAATTGCAAATTTCCATAGTAACGAGTTAAATTCCTAAATCTACCCGAAATGTGCAAAATATCATGAGTTTTTACTTGTCAGTTATCATTGCATTCATATTTTTTAGATTTGCTTAAACACGGTGACTCAAAAAAAATTAACGACTGAGTTGTTAAAAAATAAACATCTAAACATATTTAGGAATTTAACTCGTTACTATGGAAATTTGTAATTTAACACCTTTTATATTTAACAAGTTTTTACAAGTTTAATATGGCTAAAATCAGTCTTGTCTTGGCAAGTACTAGCCCCGCCCACCCGTCCTCTATTTTCTCAAAAGGAATGACGTTCGCCAAAATCAGTCTTATCTGAGCAAGAACTAGCCCCGCCCGCCCGCTCTTGTTTTCTTAGAGTATATGTGATCTGCCAAATTAAGACTTATCTTACCTAGTACTAACAAGTACTACGCTCTGAGAAAAATAAAAGGCTGGTGGGTGGGGCTAGCACTTGCTAACATAAGTCTTATTTTGGCAGATGACATATTCTCAGAGAAAATAGGGGCGGGCGGATGGGCGGGGCTAGTACTTGGTAAGAAAAGACTGATTTTGGCAAATGATATACCCTCTAAGAAAGTAACGGGTGGGTAGGCGGGGCTAGTACTTGCTAAGATGAGACTTATTTCGGCAGATAAAGACATGGGGGATTCCGAAGATTCCTTCAGATTTTTTCAAAAACAACTTACCAAAAGTTCCCAAATTTCTTTTAATCTCTTTCAAACAGAAAACACCAGGAACCTCCAAAATTCTTCCAAAAAACACCAGAAGTTTCCAAAGATCTTGTGATCTCTTTCAAAAACGAAACAGTAAGAGGTTCCAATTTTTGTAATCATTCTTTCAAATTGACAAACATCATCCACCCAAGAGGTGAGATTCTTTCAAAAAGCACCTCTACAAAGAAAAAGCAAAAACAGTCCTAAAGTTCCATAAAATTTCATTCAAGGAAACACCAGAAAGATTCTTTCAAACATAAAACAACAAAAGCTCCCAAGCATCTTTCAACACTTTTTCAACAAAAGCTCTTCAAGCTCTATCCAAACTTTTTCATTGAGATGAAACCCCAGTACATCAAAATAAAAACCTTATCGAAGATTTATAGAATTATGACGTGATTTTCTTGCTATAATGGATATAAACAACCTAAACGGCGATATAACAATAATAAAACTTTCACGGAATTTGCTAACAAGGCAAATGTGGATGTCATCGTCTATTTTATGTCTTACTTTATAACTACAGAAGTGTTATAAGGGAACTAATGAATAAAATATGCATACAGTTGTAAACTTTAACGACACATTTGACATCAATTCCCCCGTTTCCGACGCAAACTTAAATACAGAAAAAACAATTAGATCGTGAATAAAATAAGAAATAAGCTCGATAAAACTCAAAAACGTTCACTATTAGTTTAATTGTTGATTGAGTAGGTCGATTAGTGGTGTCGCCCACAAGACCGCTATTCCATTTTAACTAAATGACAGACAAAATAAAACCAAACACGACTTTGTGCAGGGAAAAATTTCATTTTGTTCGCTTGTAAAAATGGTTGTTATAAGCATCTGCCGCCCGTGTAGGAAACCAGTAAAATCCGATTTACAGCCAAGAATATTGATACTTTTCGTAAAAAATTGCCACTGTCGTAATTTTAAACAACCTTTATTAGTGCTCCATCGCGTAAAAACCCTGCCGGTGTGGAACAATAAACATTACCACACATCTCCATTGATTTCACAAATAGCCCATAAGCCAATAGCTAAAAAATTAGGCATTCCTCAGCCAAAAACCACACAACCCACTAAGAATAACTGTACAAAAGTAAAAAACTCTGACCCTCGACCGCAACACAAAATTGCTCTTTCAGGCCATGCGAAACAAGAAAAACATTTTATTGGAAAGGTAGAGTGCGAATAGAAATATTGTATTCAATAAAAGCATCGCGCACATGTGTTGCATATTCTGTTTCAGTGAAAAATGTACTTTTATTTTATTATATTATGTTTCAGTGAATCTTTCCGTTGCTGATACCATGGTGTCGACCCTCAACGTCACGTTCAACTTCGTCTACATGTTGAACTCGCATTGGCCTTTCGGGGAGCTCTACTGCAAAATATCGCAATTTATTGCTGTATTGTCTGTGTGTGCATCGGTGTTTTCTTTGATGTCCATTTCGATTGACAGGTGAGCTTTATGTTAAATGTATTTGCTAAACTATGTTCAGAGAACCCTAGGAGTATTAAGTGGGACTGCAAGAGTGCACCTTTTTACTTCCCGAGCGTAAGCAAAGGAAGTATTGTAATCGAGTCCGTCGGCCGACTCTCTACTTTTACGTTTTCTCGATCTTTCATGACCCCTAGAAGACGAAGAAATAGGTCTCCCATTTCCGTCTGTCTGTCCGTCTGTCCGTCTGTCCGTCTGTCCGTCTGTCCGTCTGCCGTCCCGGATTTTTATTAGACAGATAATCTCCGAAAGTACTCGACCGATTGTTAAGAAATTTTGTACTTATATTAAGAATATCATGTAGATGGTAAAACGCTAACCAAAATTTGTCTAATCATCCCCACCACTAATGCGATGACGTCACTTCAAAATTGTACATAGTAAATGGGTTTTCAATTGTATAAAATAACATAGTCCTACACATGTAGTTTACAACTCTGAATCGGCTTTTCACCCGAAACGTCCAGATTTTTGGAAAAAAAATCAAAATTATAAAACAACATTTTGAAATTTAATTTTTAATCTGCTAACCAGCATGCTTTGAAATGTTGCAGATGTTTTAAGGCTATAAAGAGCATCATAAATCTTTAGTCAAAAAATATTTGCTTATCCCCTCCAAAAACTTGATGACGTCAGCTCAAAAGTTTGTGGAATAAATCATATCTAAAATGTACAAAATATGATGAGTCTGTACTTGTGATCTATCACTCCATTCATATTTTTTGGGTTTGCATATACAGGGTGACTCAAAAAAATTAATGAATGCGTAAATATATTTTATTGATTTAATCAGGAACTACAAAACCGAATGCTCTGAAATCTTGCAGATGTTTTAAGGTCATAAAGAGCATAATAAATGTTTAGTCAAAATATATTTGCTTATCCCCTCCAAAAACTTGATGATGTCAGCTCGAAAGTTTGCCGAATAAATCATATCTAAAATGTACAAAATATGATGAGCCTGTACTTGTCATTTATCACACCATTCATATTTTTTCGATTTGCATATACAGAGTGACTCAAAAAAATTAATGAATGCGTAAATATATTTTATTGATTTAATCAGGAACTACAAAACGGAATGCTCTGACATCTTGCAGATGTTTTAAGGTTATAAAGAGCATAATAAATGTTTAGTCAAAATATATTTGCTTATCCCCTCCAAAAACTTGATGATGTCAGCTCGAAAGTTTGCCGAATAAATCATATCTAAAATGTACAAAATATGATGAGCCTGTACTTGTCATTTATCACACCATTCATATTTTTTCGATTTGCATATACAGAGTGACTCAAAAAAATTAATGAATGCGTAAATATATTTTATTGATTTAATCAGGAACTACAAAACGGAATGCTCTGACATCTTGCAGATGTTTTAAGGTTATAAAGAGCATAATAAATGTTTAGTCAAAATATATTTGCTTATCCCCTCCAAAAACTTGATGACGTCAGCTCGAAAATTTGCCGAATAAATCATATCTAAAATGCACAAAATATGATCAGTCTGTACTTGTGATCTATCACTCCATTCATATTTTTTGGATTTGCATATACAGGGTGATTCAAGAAAATAAATGAAAGCGTAAATTTATTTTACTGATTTACTCAGGAACTGCAAAACCGAATGTTTCGAAATCTTGAAGATATTTTAAAATTATCATAAGCATGGTAAATTTTTGATCAAAATGTATTTGGTCGCCCCCCTAAAAAATTTATGACGTCACCACAAAATTTTGCTGAATAAATCCTATCTAAAATGTACAAAATATGGTGAGTCTCTTCTTGTGATTTATCATTCCATTCAATTTTTTTCGATTTGCATATACAGGGTGACTCAAAAAAATTAATGAATGCGTAAATTTATTTTATTGATTTAATCAGGAACTACAAAACCGAATGCTTTGAAATCTTGCAGATGTTTTAAGGTTGTAAAGAGCATAATAAATTTTTAGTCAAAATATATTTGGTTATCTTCTACAAAAAACTGATGACGTCAGCTCAAAAGTTTGCCGAATAAATCGTATCTAAAATGTACAAAATATGATGAGTCTGTACTTGTGATTTATCATTCCATTCATATTTTTGGATTTGCATATGCAGGGTGACTCAAAAAAATTAATGAAGGCGTGAATTTATTTTATCGATTTAATCAGGAATTACAAAACCGAATGCTTTGAAATCTTGGGAATATTTTAAATTTATTATAAGCATGGTAAACTTTTGTTCAAAATGTATTTGTTTATCCCTCCTAAAAAAATTGATGACGTCACCCTTAAATTTTGCTGAATAAATCCTATCTAAAATGCAAAAAATATGATGAGTTTGTACTTGTGATTTATCATTCCATTCTAATTTTTTAGATTTTCTTAAGAGGTGGTTCAAAAAAATTAATGAAGTCAATTTATTTTATTGATTAAATTAAAGGCAACACTTATTATTAGTATTACACCCCAACCAACCCAATTTGGTAGACACAAAATTTGTTAAAGGAAAAACTCGGTTGAAACATAAAGGTAGCACGCTTATTTACATCGACTTTAACATTACAGACCTGCATTTGTTTTATGCGTTCACTTGGTTCCGCGAATGTGAAATAGACATGTTTATAATCAACCAATTGTGAATTTCACCGTCAAGAATTAAAATAAAACCCAATGTTTTATATAATAAGCGGAAGTCGAAGCAATAAAACCGATGGTCGTTTTGTTTACAGTTTCTCTGTTTGACTCTCACGTATGCTGTTACGCCTGTCATCTTAAATTAAGAATGTTTATACATACACGATTTTCAGTTGCCTCTGATACGTATACGTGAGTAAATTGTTTCGTTATTTTATTGATTATTACAAATCAATATTCAAAACGACCCAATTCATTTTCCCGAAAATTTGAGAATATAATAATTTTATTCTTAGTATTACACTACATCTATCCCAACTGATATACGTGTCCTTGCAAAAATGTTGATGACGTCATCGCAATTTTTTTTAAATTCCCACTACAAAAATGTAATGAGAAAAAAAAACACAATAGGCACGCAGTCGTCAAGTTTCCGACAGCGAGGGAAGTACTGTCTAAACTCTTTAGACGAATTTTTTCTGAACGTATTTCAGCAATATCTAGAAATTCCCGACTTAAAGTTTGATATCTCGTTCGCAGATACATGGCTATAATGACCCCATTACGCCCTCGGATGGGTCGGAGTGTTACTGTATTATTAGCAGTGACTACGTGGCTGTTGGGGATAATAATCGGAAGTCCGTCCTTAATGTTCTTCAGAACGTACACAATGCCCTATAAAGACGGCGAGGAGCGAGTGATTTGTTACCCAGAATGGCCGGATGGAACCACCAACGAATCAATGATGGAATACGTGTAAGTGGGCGATATTTTCTCCATTTTACTCTATATATATTTATCTAAAAATTAATTTCCAAGTGGCGAAAGCTCCGGAAAGCTAAATTTAACTCCGACTTACGTATTTCGCGCTCCGTAATTAAATATCAATAAAACCTGAGCTCCTGTCGCAGACTGCGAAAAATCCACCTCCTACATTGTTGAGTGACGCATTAAATTATGTTTCAGATACAACGTCGGATTTCTCTTCGTAACCTATGTAGTGCCGATAGGATCGATGACTTACACGTACGCAAGAATTGGTATAGAACTCTGGGGATCTCAGAGCATAGGAGAATGCACACAGCGACAAATGGAAAATATAAGGAGCAAAAGAAGGGTAAGTAAGCTATTATTAAGGCAAGGAACCCTAGAGATCGAGCGACAGCTGCTTGCCGATAGTTTGTAACTAAGACAACTCTTATCTGCTCAACTGGATCAAGCGAAACTTCAAACAGGATAGAACTCGGCGGAAGTCAGGGAACTTATGATCCCTGGGGAAAGTGCAAAATTAAAAAGTCGGGGTTTGTTTGAGAAAAGCGCAGGTGCGGTTACAACTCGCAACTTCGGTTTATAGTGTCCAGAAAATGGGGTGATGACGGCATCGTTTCTGTGGAAGGGGAATAAAATGTTTCTTATTAATAATTAGTTTATTAATTAGTCAACTGCGAGTGACCTAAAACTTCCATGGAGTCCAAAAAAATTCTCAAAAAATTCCGGCATAGACAACTCAATGTACTGATTAAAAAAATATAGCATTTTTGTGGTCTCAGACCGAGATTACCGAAATATTAAATTTTTGAAAAATTTTAAAAAATGTAAAAATTTTGGAAAAGTTCCTTAAAAATTCTCAAAAAATTTGAAATATAAATCTCTAGTTGTTGACTAGAAGAATATACCCACGACCAAGATTTTCGAAATATTAAATCCCAAATTCGAACTTTCCAAAAATCATAAAATTTGTCATAATTTTAGTGTTTTGAGGGTTTAAAGATTTTAGTGTTGTGAAGATTTTCGGATTTCGTGTTGTAAGGATCCGAGGATTTTTGGTGTTCTCAGGGTTTGAGAATTTTTAAATTTTCGAGTTTTGACGATTTGAGTATTTTGGTGTTTTAATGCTTTGGACATTTTGCTCGTTTGATGATTTGAGAGTTTTGGAGTATCGAAGATTTAATTATTTTGGTGTTGTGAAGATTTGAGAATTTTGTGTTTTGAGTTTCAATTTGAAAAATTTGAGATTTCGGAAAAGTTGTCCAAAAATTTTCAAAAAATTCCGGCATATACAACTCAATGTACTGATTAAAAATATATAACATTTTTGTGGTCTCAGACCGAGATTACCGAAATATTAAATGTTTCAAAATTTTTAAAAATTGTATTTTTTTGGCCATTCTGAAAAAATATTTTCCAAGACCTGAAGCCGAAAATGACTTTTCGAAGTCGGAATCTACGAAGAAATCAATATCGGTGATTTTAGAAAATGGACTAAAATGGGTTGAAAATTTCATTAGTGGGGAGTATGGAAAAATTGAAATTTTGGAAAAGTTCCTTAAAAGTTCTCAAAACATTTGGGATATAAATCTCTATGTGCTAACTAGAAAAATATAACCACGACCAAGATTGTCGAAATATTAAATCCCAAATTCGAACTTTGCAAAAAATCATAAAATTTGTCATAATTTTGGCGTTTTGAGGGTTTAAAGATTTTGGTGTTGTGAAGATTTTCGGATTTGGTGTTGTGAGGATCTGAGGATTTTTGGTGTTCTGAGGGTTTGAGAATTTTTAAATTTTGGAGTTTTGACGATTTGAATATTTTGGTGTTTTAATGCTTTGGACATTTTGCTCTTTTGATGATTTGAGAGTTTTGGAGTATCAAAGATTTAATTATTTTGTTGTTGTAAAGATTTGAGAATTTTGTGTTTTGAGTTGCAATTTGAAAAATTTGAGATTTCGGAAAAGTTGCCCAATAATTCTCAAACAATTCCGGCATATACAACTCAATGCACTGATTAAAAAAATATAGCATTGTTGTGGTCTCAGGCCGATATCGCCGAAATATTAAATTTTTCAAAAATTTTAAAAATTGTATTTTTTGGCCATTCTGAAAAAATATTTTCAAAGATCTGAAGCCGAAAACGACTTTTCGAAGTTGGGATCTACGAAAAAATCACTATCGGTATTTTTAGAAAATGGCCAAAAAGGCGTTGAAAATTTCATTAATGGCGAGTATGGAAAAACTGAAATTTTCGAAAAGTTCCTTAAAAGTTCTCAAAAAATTTGAAATATAAATCTCTAGTTGTTGACTAGAAGAATATACCCACGACCAAGATTTTCGAAATATTAAATCCCAAATTCGAACTTTCCAAAAATCATAAAATTTGTCATAATTTTGGTGTTTTGAGGGTTTAAAGATTTTAGTGTTGTGAAGATTTTCGGATTTCGTGTTGTAAGGATCCGAGGATTTTTGGTGTTCTGAGGGTTTGAGAATTTTAAAATTTTGGAGTTTTGACGATTTGAGTATTTTGGTGTTTTAATGCTTTGGAGATTTTGCTCTTTTGATAATTTGAGAGTTTTGGAGTATCGAAGATTGAATTATTTTGGTGTTGTGGAGATTTGCGAATTTTGTGTTTTGAGTTTCAATTTAGAAAATTTGGGATTTCGGAAAAGTTGCCGAAAAATTCTCAAAAAAATCAGGCATATACAACTCAATGTACTGATTAAAAAAATATAGCATTTTTGTGGTCTCAGACCGAGATTACCGAAATATTAAATGTTTCAAAATTTTTAAAAATTGTATTTTTTTGGCCATTCTGAAAAAATATTTTCCAAGACCTGAAGCCGAAAATGACTTTTCGAAGTCGGAATCTACGAAGAAATCAATATCGGTGATTTTAGAAAATGGACAAAAATGGGTTGAAAATTTCATTAGTGGGGAGTATGGAAAAATTGAAATTTTGGAAAAGTTCCTTAAAAGTTCTCAAAACATTTGGGATATAAATCTCTATGTGCTAACTAGAAAAATATAACCACGACCAAGATTGTCGAAATATTAAATCCCAAATTCGAACTTTCCAAAAAATCATAAAATTTGTCATAATCTTGGTGTTTTGAGGGTTTAAAGATTTTGGTGTTGTGAAGATTTTCGGATTTGGTGTTGTGAGGATCTGAGAATTTTTGGTGTTCTGAGAATTTTTAAATTTTGGAGTTTTGACGATTTGAATATTTTGGTGTTTTAATGCTTTGGACATTTTGCTCTTTTGATGATTTGAGAGTTTTGGAGTATCAAAGATTTAATTATTTTGTTGTTGTGAAGATTTGAGAATTTTGTGTTTTGAGTTGCAATTTGAAAAATTTGAGATTTCGGAAAAGTTGCCCAATAATTCTCAAACAATTCCGGCATATACAACTCAATGCACTGATTAAAAAAATATAGCATTGTTGTAGTCTCAGGCCGATATCGCCGAAATATTAAATTTTTCAAAAATTTTAAAAATTGTATTTTTTGGCCATTCTGAAAAAATATTTTCAAAGATCTGAAGCCGAAAACGACTTTTCGAAGTTGGGATCTACGAAAAAATCACTATCGGTATTTTTAGAAAATGGCCAAAAAGGCGTTGAAAATTTCATTAATGGCGAGTATGGAAAAATTGAAATTTTCGAAAAGTTCCTTAAAAGTTCTCAAAAAATTTGAAATATAAATCTGTAGTTGTTGACTAGAAGAATATACCCACGACCAAGATTTTCGAAATATTAAATCCCAAATTCGAACTTTCCAAAAATAATAAAATTTGTCATAATTTTGGTGTTTTGAGGGTTTAAAAATTTTGGTGTTGTGAAAATTTTAGGATTTTGGTGTTGTAAGGATCCTAGGATTTTTGGTGTTCTGAGGGTTTGAGAATTTTAACATTTTGGAGTTTTGACGATTTGAATATTTGGGTGTTTTAATGCTTTAGACATTTTGCTCTTCTGACGATTTGAGAGTTCTGGAGTATCGAAGATTTAATGATTTTGGTGTTGTGAAGATTTGAGAATTTTGTATTTTGAGATTTAAGATTTCGGAAAAGTTGCCCAAAAATTCTCAAAAAAATTCTGACATATAAAACTCAATGCACTGATTAAAAAAATATAACATTTTTGTGGTCTCAGGCCGAGATTGCCGAAATATTAAATCCCAAATTCGAACTTTCCAAAAATCATAAAATTTGTCATAATTTTGGTGTTTTGAGGGTTTAAAGATTTTCGGATTTTGGTGTTGTAAGGATTTGAGGATTTTTGGTGTTCTGAGGGTTTGAGGATTTTGAAATTTTGAGAATTTTAAGATTTTGGAGTTTTGAGGATTTGAGTATTTTGGTGTTTTCATACTTTGGACATTTCGCTGTTTTAACGATTTGAGAATTTTGGAGTATCGAAGATTTAATGATTTTGGTGTTGTGAAGATTTGAGAATTTTGTATTTTGAGATTTAAGATTTCGGAAAAGTTGCCCAAAAATTCTCAAAAAAATTCTGACATATAAAAGTCAATGCACTGATTAAAAAAATATAACATTTTTGTGGTCTCAGGCCGAGATTGCCGAAATATTAAATTTTTCAAAAATTTTAAAAGTTGTATTTTTTTGGCCAATCTGAAAAAATATTTTCAAAGAACTTTCCAAAAACCCTAAAAATTGTCACACTTGAAAATGGATTTAAGGGTTTTGGTAGTTTGAGGATTTGAGGGATTTTAGTGTCTTGGAGATTTGAAGATTTTTGTCATTTGAGTATCTGAGAATTTTGGTGTTTTGAGGATTTGAGGATTTAGGTGTTTTGAGGATTTGAGGATTTTGGTGTTTCAAAGATATAAGAATTATTAGCGTTCTGAGTGCTTGAGGATTTTGGTATTTTGGGAATTTTAAGATTCTGGAGTTTTGAGCATTTGAGTATTTCGCAAAAGTTGCCTAAAAATTCTCAAAAAAATCTGGAAAATAGAACTCAATGTACTGATTAGAAAAATTCCTGAGGTCTGAGACCTAGATTATCGAAATATTCGGCCTCAAATTTAAACTTTTCAAAATTCCAAAATTGTATTTATTTTGGCGATTTTAAACTCTTTCAAGTCGAAATCTACAAAAAAACCTTGTCGGTAAAATTATCACCGCTAATGAAATTTTAGACCCTTTTTAGTTACCAAAAAAAATTATCAAAAATTTCCGGAATATTAAACACGATGTGCTGATCAGAAAAATAATTTGATAATATTCCAAAAATTTTCGAAAATCGATACTTTATTTGGTGATTCTGGAAAAATGGTAGGAAGCCAAAACTGACTTCTAGATGTCTGAGTCTACAAAAAAATCCACTTGGACAATTTTCGAAAGAAGACAAAAATAGCTACAAAATTTCATGAATGTTAAAATACTATTGAGATTTAGAAAAGTTGTTTAAAAACCCATAAAACATCTTGAGATATACTTAGATCTGTACATATTGATTCGAAAAATATAAAAATTTAAATACAAAAAATCGCCATAATTAGTTGAGCCATTTTGGAAAATGGTAAAAACTTTCGAAGAAATGAGAACGAAATTAATTTCTGGAGATCGAGATCTAAAAAAAATTCACACAAAATTCTAGGAAATATATCTCGACGCGCTGATTCTAAAAATGTAGCATGTTTGATCCCGGACCAAAATTTCCGAAATATCTGATCTCAAATTCGAATTTTTCAACAATTCTAAAAATTCTCATATTTCGTTTGAGGATTCCAGAAAAAGTGGTAAGAATTTTTAAAGAACTGAAACTAAAAATGACTTCTCGAAGTCTAAATGTTAAAGTTGTACAAAAATTCTCAAAAAATTCTGGAATATAGACGTCGATGTGGTGATTAGGAAAATATATGGTGCCGGACAAGATTTTCGATTTCAGATTTTGGAAAAGTTTTAAACTAACCGAATAAAATTAACACTTACACCGCATTGACAATTCTCTGTATTTCAGGCCTTGCAATATCACAGTCGGTAAAAAATTCAGGGACAACTGCCTTCACAGTGAAATATTTGTCCAGCCTCCTCTTGGTTTTTTCCAACGAGAAATTGCAACTTCGCAAAAAATTCATAAGCATCGTATCATCTAAAAACGATCAACGAAAATTCCTTGTAATTATTTTTGATAAAATAAATATTCGTACCCCATGTATCCGGTAAATGTGGCTCTTTTCTGAGCCACTCTTTAATAGCCTCCAAGTCTCTATCTCTAGTGTTTACATCTTCGTTCAGCGCTTGACGGATAAGAACTTGCTGGCCAGGAGAGGGCGGCTCAAGGTGGGACATGGCACAAAGATGAAAACACTTTTGCCTTCACTGACTGAGATCTCCACTGAAATACAAACCTGATGATTTTTTTTAATTAATATATAATTTAAAACCAGTTCTTTCTAGGCTTTCCGGTTTAATTAACGACTTTTTTTTTAATTTAAAGATTTTTCTCAAGTAATGTATTTCTTGTTTGAGTCTAGGGGATTTGTGTAATAGATTTTCTGTTCAAGTCATGCAAAGTAATATACGTGGAATTAATGCATCCGATCTTGATATGTAGTTTACATTTTGTGCATTTGCATTCCGACCCCGAGGACAGATTCTTATTTATAACAGTTCCACATTTCGGAGCTTAAACTTTGCTTATTAAAATCGTGCTTCCGACTTCCAACGAATTATTAACAACCGTAAAATTTTAGTCGGCTGGATAAGATTTCAGCCATTGCATTGCGGATACTTTCAAAAGCAACTTGTAAGAATTTTCTTAACCGAGTGTTTTTGAAGTATTGATTGATTTTTGCAATTAAATTCTAGGGCAAAATTAAATTCTTGTGCTGGAAAATTCCAATGGCCCGATTTTTTGTAATATCCCGATTCTTGGTAAGAAAACCACCCCAGAATAATCACATTTTTAAAACATTATTTAAGAACTATATAACGTCGAACTCTTAATACACATAAAACGACAATACTGGAAAAAACATAAACAAAAAAGCACTGGTTAACCTTTGGCTTCAATCATGCCTTAATCGTCGGTTTACGTTAAAAATTCACGTTAACCTAAATCAAACATAATGCAATAAGTGGAAATATCGGCTACATTTAGTGCATTTTGTCCCAATTTTTTTAATTGTTGGCAAAAACGCAAGTACCACAATGACTCTTTTTCTCTAACCTTGATTAAACCAGTTTCGGAAATTCTTGATCGTAAGACCGTCTGAATGATAAATCGTACTCGTGTGGACCGGAAAATTTAAACCAAAAACATTGATCGAGTACAAAAAGTGGTACGATAGTGAAAAACGACCCGACCTGAACCAACACCAACAAATGTTTTTGTCTTGGAGGTACTTCCAGTGTAAGAGTACCGCTCCTGAACTCTGCGCCAACTTGGATTTGGAGGGAACTCATGATCCCTAGGGAAAGTGCAAAATTAAAAAATCGGGGTTTTGTTTGAGGAAAGCACAGGTGCGGTGACATCTCGCAAATTTATTTTATATTACTCAGAAAATTTTGTCAGTCAACTGCGAGTGATCTGAAACTTCCATGTAGTCCGAAAAAATCTTCGTAAGTTGTAGCCTTTCCAGGTCTTTTCGACTCGTCTGCTTTAATCTTCTCCTGCTCCTTAAACCAAGGTTTAAAATCTTCACAAGCCGCTAAATACTTGTCCCAATGCAGTTTAAGTTTGCCCGCTGTACCTCCGTACTCTTCTGGCAAAAGACCTTTGGGGATGTACTCATGGAGGGTAGTTACATCCTTATGAAAATGTATTCGCTTTAAAATTTTTTCTTTCAAGAACGGCTTTATAAACGCGATTATACTATCGATGAAAAATGGGGGATTAACAATATGTACTTCTTTGACTTTGATAGGGAGCGCATCTGTGGCACACACTAAAAATTTTTTAGCGAAAATGGGCGACAATTTAACTAGGTATTTAAGCATGAAGTTCTCGCCCTCTAAAACGTAGACTTCGCCAGCTGAACCTAGGTTGTCTACTTTGAGGCGGATGTCGCCTAACATGAAAATTATTTTGGCGCAATCGTTGTAGTCGACGTTCTCGAAGTCGTTGCTAGCGATGCGTGCGATGTGGACTCGTCTGCTCTCTGGAGTCATTCCTGGCATGGTAGCGATTTCTCTAAAAAAAAAATGTATGGTACGAGGATTAAAAAAACTTATTATGGAGAAAAAGCAAAAAAAAAAGCAAGTTTTAAAGATAATCGGTCTAAAGGTTCTTTTTTCAAAAATCCAAAAGTTGCCATATTTCATTGAGTGGTGGGAATTTTCGAAGAAATTGGAACGAAATAACTTCTGGATCTACAAAAAAACCGATCTTTTTCTAAAATTTTAAAAATTGTCGTGTTTCATTTGGCCATTCTGTAAAAGTTTTAGGAATTTTTAAAAGCCTGAAACTGAAAATGGCTTCTAGAATTCAGAAACTACACAAATTTCATTTTGTAATTTTCGTAAATGGTCAAAAAAGAGTCGAAAATTTCATAAGGGAGGATATTGAAAAATCCAGATTTTGAAAGTTGCCTAGATATTCTCAAAAAATTTGGAATACAAATCTCGCGATTCGATTTTCGAAATATTAGGTCCCAAATTCGAATTTTTCAAAAATCCTAAAAATTGTATGATTCCTAGAAGTCTACAAAGAATCCATTTAAATAATTATTTAAAAAAATAGTCAAAAAAGAGTCAAACATTTCATAAAGGATTTGATGAGTTTGGTATTTTGAGGATTTTAGTGTCTTGAAGATTTGAGGATTTTGGTGTTGAGAATTTGATGGTTTTGATGTTTTCAGATTTTGAGAATTTAGGTGTTTTGAGGATTGAGGATTTAGGTGTTTTGAGGATCTAACGATTTTAGTGTTTTGAGGATTTGAGGAATTTGGTGTTCTGAAGGTTTCAGGATTTTGGTATTTTGAGAATATTAAGATTTTGGAGTTTTTAGGATTTCAGTATTTTGGTGTTTTGGAGATTTGAGGATTTTGCTTTGAGTTTCAATATGGAAAATTCGAGATTTTGAAAAAATTGCCTAACAATTTTCAAAAATTCTGGAAAAATATTTTCAGAGACCTAAGGCGGAAAATGACTTTTCAAAGTCGGAATCTACAAAAAATCTCTATCGATAATTTTAGAAAATGGTCAAAAAAGGGCTGGAAAATTTCATTATCGGTGAATATAGAAAAATTTAAATTTTTGCAAAAGATACCTAAAAGTTTCCAAAAAATTTGGAATAAAATATTTATGTGCTGATTAGAAAACTACAGCCACAACCAAGACTTTCGAAATTTTAAGTCCCAAATTTTTGTGTTATGAGCATTTGAGGATTTTTGAATTTTGGTATTTCGAGGATTTGAGGACTTTGGCGTTTTGAAGACTTGAGGCTTTTGGGGTTTCGAGTTTCAATATTGAAAAATCAAGATTTTGGAAAAGTTCCCTAAAAATCTCAAAAAATTCTGGAATAAAAAATCAAGCCCTAAATTCTAATTTTTCCAAAATCGTAAAAATTGTCATAATTCACTTCAAAATGACTCCTAGAAGACCGATTCTACAAAAAATGCATTTGAATAATTTTCGAAAATAATCAAGAAAGTGACCAAAGGATTTGAGGAGTTTGGTATTTTGAGGATTTGAGGATTTGAATATTTGAGGATTTTGAGGATTTAAAGATTTGAAGATTTTGGTGTTGAGGATTTGATGATTTTGGTGTTTTGAGAATTTGAGAATTTGAGGATTTTTGGTATTTTGAGGATTGAGGATTTAGGTGTTTTGAGGATCTAACGATTTTAGTGTTTTGAGGATTTGAGGAATTTGGTGTTCTGAGGGTTTGAGGATTTTGGTATTTTGAGAATTTTAAGATTTTGGAGTTTTTAGGATTTGAGTATTTTGATGTTTTGGAGATTTGAGGATTTTGTGTTTTGAGTTTCAATATAGAAAATTCGAGATTTTGAAAAAATTGCCTAAAAATTTTCAAAAAATTCTGTAAAAATATTTGCAGAGGCCTAAGGCCGAAAATGACTTTTCAAAGTCGGAATCTACAAAAAAATCTCTATCGGGAATTTTTGAAAATGGTCAAAAAAGGGTGAAAATATTCATTATCGGTGATTGTAGAAAAATTTAAATTTTTGCAAAAGCTAGGCTTTTGGGGTTTTGAGTTTCAATATTAAAAAATCAAGATTTTGGAAAAGTTGCCTAAAAATCTCAAAAAATTCTGGAATAAAAAATCAAGTACTAAATTCGAATTTTTCAAAAATCCTAAAAATTGTCATAATTTGCTTCAAAATGACTCCTACAAAAAATGCATTTGAATAATTTTCGAAAATAATCAAAAAAGTGTCCAAGATTTATAAAGGATTTGAGGCGTTTGGTATTTTGAGGATTTGAGGATTTTGAGGATTTGAAGATTTGAGGATTTTGAGAATTTGAAGATTTGAGGTTTTTGTGTTGAGGATTTGATGATTTTGGTGTTTTGAGAATTTGAGCATTTGAGGATTTTTGGTGTTCTGAGGATTTGAGGATTTTGTTATTTTTAAAATTTTAAAATTTTGGAGTTTTGAGGATTTGAGTATTTTGGTGTTTTAAGGATTCAAGCATTTTAATGTTTTTTGAGGATTTTGGAGTATTGAAGATTTGATTTTTCTGGTGTTTTGAAGATTTGAGGATATTGTGTTTTGGGGATTTGAGAATTTTGGATTATTGAAGAGTTGCGTATTTTGGTATTTTGAAGATTTGAGGATTTTGTGTTTTGAGTTTCAATTTGGAAAATTGAAGATTTTGAAAAAATTGCCCAAAAATTTTCAAAAATTCTGGAAAAATATTTTCAGAGACCCAAGGCCGAAAATGACTGTTCAAAGTCGGAATCTACAAAAAATCTCTATCGATAATTTTAGAAAATGGTCAAAAAAGGGCTGGAAAATTTCATTATCGGTGAATATAGAAAAATTTAAATTTTTGCAAAAGTTACCTAAAAGTTCCCAAAAAATTTGGAATAAAATATTTATGCGCTGATTGGAAAACTATAGCCACAACCAAGACTTTCGAAATTTTAAGTCCCAAATTTTTGTGTTATGAGTATTTGAGGATTTTTGAATTTTGGTATTTCGAGGATTTGAGAATTTTGGCGTTTTGAAGACTTGAGGCTTTTGGGGTTTTGAGTTTCAATATTGAAAAATCAAGATTTTGGAAAAGTTGCCTAAAAATCTCAAAAAATTCTGAAATAAAAAATCAAGTCTTAATTCTAATTTTTCAAAAATCCTAAAAATTGTCATAATTCACTTCAAAATGACTCCTAGAAGACCGATTCAACAAAAAATACATTTGAATAATTTTCGAAAATAATCAAAAAAGTGTCCAAGATTTATAAAGGATTTGAGGAGTTTGGTATTTTGAACACTTGAGGCTTTTGGGGTTTCGAGTTTCAATATTGAAAAATCAAGATTTTGGAGAAAAGTTCCCTAAAAATCTCAATAAATTCTGGAATAAAAAATCAAGCCCAAAATTCTAATTTTTCAAAAATCTTAAAAATTGTCATAATTCACTTCAAAATGACTCCTAGAAGACCGATTCTACAAAAAATACATTTGAATAATTTTGGAAAATAATCAAAAAAGTGTCCAAGATTTATAAAGAATTTGAGGAGTTTGGTTTTTGAGGATTTGAGGATTTTGAGGATTTGAAGATTTGAGGATTTTGAGGATTTGAAGATTTGAGGATTTTGGTGTTGAGGATTTGATGATTTTGGTATTTTGAGAATTTGAGAATTTGAGGATTTTTGGTGTTCTGAGCATTTGAGGATTTTGGTATTTTTAAAATTTTAAAATTTTGGAGTTTTGAGGATTTGAGTATTTTGGTGTTTTAAGGATTCAAGCATTTTAGTGTTTTGATGATTTGAGGATTTTGGAGTATTGAAGATTTGATTATTCTGGTGTTTTGAAGATTTGAGGATTTTGTGTTTTGAATTTCAATGCGGAAAATTCGAAGTTTTGGAAAAGTTGCCTAAAAATTCTCAAAAAATTCTGAAATATAGAACTCAATGTACTGATTAGAAAAATGTAACATTTTTGTGGTCTAAAACGCAAAAAAGAGCAAGTTTTAAAGATATTCGGTCTAAAAGCCATATTTTCGAGATCTACAAAAGAAATCGGTCCATGTAATTTTCGAAAATGGTCAAAAAAAGTCAAAAATTTCATCAACTATTTGAAGATTTTAATGTTTTGAGGATTTGACAATTTTTTTTCGGTATTTTGAGAATTTGAAAATTTTGGAGCTTTAAGGATTTTTGGACTTTTGGGAATTTGAATAATTTGGTGTGTTAAGGATTTTGGCATTTTGGTGTTTTGAGGATTTTGGAGTATTGAGGATTTGATTATTTTGGTATTTTGGAGGTTTGAGGGTTTTGTGTTTTGAGTTTCAATATAGAAAATTCGAGATTTTGAAAAAGTTACCTAAAAATTCTCAAAAAATTCTGGACTATAGAACGCAATGTACTGGTTAGAAAAATATAGCATTTTTGTGGTCTCAAACCAATATTACCGAAATTTTCGCTCTAAAATTCGAATTTTTCAAATTTTCTAAAATTTCTTTTGGCAATTCTGCAAAAATGTTTTCAAAGACCTGGAGCCGAAAATGTTTGTTCAAAGTCGGAATCTACAAAAAAATCCCTATGGTTAATTTTAGAAAAAAGTCAAAAAGGGGCAAAAATTTCATTGGGAATTGAGAATAGAAAAATTGAAATTTTGGAAATATTCCTTAAAAATTCTCAAACAATTTGAAATATAAATCTCTACTTGCTAACTAGAAGAATATAGTCACGAGCAAGATTTTTGGAATATTAAGTCCCAAATTCGAACTTTCCAAAAACAGTAAAAATTGTCATAATTCATCCGAAAATGACTTCTAGAAATAAGATTCTAGAAAAAAAATCCATTTAAATAATTTTCGAAAATGGTCAAAGAAGAGTCGAAAATTTCATAAAGGATATGAGAATTTGAGGATTTTAGTGGCTTGAAGATTTGAAGATTTTTGCCTTTTGAGTGCTTTGACGATTTAAATATTTTGGTGTTTGAAGCGTTTGAGTATTTTGCAAAAGTTGCTCAAATATTCTCAAAAAATTCTGGAATATAGAACTCAATA